TGGGATTGCGGTGCTCATCTCGCTTTATTGGCCAAGGGAGCCAACATACTGCTTCCGGGTCATGTGGCCAGCATGACTAAGCCGCTTCTGGCGAACCAGAGCAGCGCACGGAAACGCCGTTTACCTTCCCGCCGGAGCGGTACCTATTTATCTACTTGCACTTCATGCTTTCAAACTGCTAAGTTGGCAGGAGCTGGGACTGAGCAATGGGAGCTCACCCCGTCAAGGGGATTCAAACCACCAACCTTCTGATTGGCAAGCTCAGTGGTTTAATCCACAGCACCACCCGCATCCCTTTTTAAGGTAAAGGTAAAAGGATCCCTGACCATTAGGTCTAATTGCAGACGACTCTGGGGTTGCGGCGCTCATCTCGCTTTATTGGCCAAGGGAGCTGGCGTACAGCTTCTGGGTCATGTGGCCAGCATGACTAAGCCGCTTCTGGCGAACCAGAGCATTTGTCAAAGCACCCTTTCCATCTGTATCAGCTTAGTGTTCTGTAAATATCCATCCAGCATTTGTTTCTTTGTTTAATTTACAACATTTCTATGATGTCCAATAACACACGTTCTCTGAGCAGCTTCCAATAAAAACACAAACAAATAAGTGCAAACCATGATTATAAGCATGAACTCTAATGCACTATGCTCACTAATTGCTTACTAATGGGTAGTGAGTGGCAATTTAATAACAACTGTTAACACCGCAGCAAAAACGTTTAAAGAAAACACTGAGAAAATAAGAACGTGCAGCTTTCAGAAAGAGACAGGTGGGTTCCAATGTGAAAACTATAAGTGATTCTCTCCAGGGAGATCAACTCCAAAGTTCACTTCACTATTTCCACCAGTTATAGAGCACATTTGATGCTAACAGCTTTCTCCTGTCCTGGCAGGTGGTTTTTAAATCAAGCATTGTTAAATCTGTAGAGCTTAGAGTGATGCATCAGACAGTTCTGACACCCGCTCTTGCTTCTGCGCTCATTTCACATAAACTTGCTGTAGGCCTGAGGCATGGCTAACCAGGCAGCTTCAGTTCCAACATCTGAAAGCCGAAAAGCAAAGGAACAAAGGCAAGGGCCCATCCAGGCTCATGATGGGGAATCAGTTTTGTGTCGCTTTGTGATGATTCCACAACTCCAACTATCCCCCCCCACACACACACCTGTGTAGGTTCCTTTTTCAAGTAAATAAGGATCTTCATTGGAAGCAAGAAGAAAATAACCACTAGAAAGGAGGGGAAACACTTGAGTGACTAATTTAGAAGCTTCTGTAAGGTCTCAGCAAAATGACTGACAGAATGTGTGGAGAAAATGTGTGCCCTACACTGAAATATGCCCCCTCTCTGTTTCAAAGTGTTCTCCTCACCCAGGACCTTTTTGTCTCCAGAGCACTTAGAGCAAAAGTCTGCCCTAAGGATGAAGGAGCTGTCATGTGATGAGTCAGGCTGCTTGACCACTCTGGGCTCAGTGCTGACTGATTCCCTGGAGAGACACAGAGTTCCTCTATCTAGAAATGCTATAGACATTGAAACAGAGGCCCTATGCAATCAAAGCAGCCTCAGTCGCCTTCAGGTTTTTTTTACCCTTAATTTCACTAGCATTGCCGCTTTGTCTTTTTACCTGATTGTGTTTCGACTAACATGTTGTTGTCGTTTAGTCGTGTCCGACTCTTCGTGACCCCATGGACCAGAGCATGCCAGGCACTCCTGTCTTCCACTGCCTCCCGCAGTTTGGTCAAACTCATGCTGGTAGCTTCGAGAACACTGTCCAACCATCCCGTCCTCTGTCGTCCCCTTCTCCTTGTGCCCTCCCATCTTTCCCAACATCAGGGTCTTTTCCAGGGAGTCTTCTCTTCTCATGAGGTGGCCAAAATACTGGAGCCTCAGCTTCAGGATCTGTCCTTCCAGTGAGTACTCAGGGCTGATTTCCTTCAGAATGGAGAGGTTTGATCTTCTTGCAGTCCATGGGACTCTCAAGAGTCTCCTCCAGCACCATAATTCAAAAGAATCAATTCTTCGGCGATCAGCCTTCTTTACGGTCGACTAACATAACTGGGTGTAAAATTAGCACCAGCACTATGGGTGGCCTCGCGGTGGTAAAAGCTGGAGTAAAATGCCGCACAACATGCTCCCTATAATTGCCACATCTCTTCAGACCTCATTTGGTCTTTCTGCAATGGGCAGAACACCTTGGCTGTGTTCTATAAGTTGTTAAACCATACTCGCGGCACTGTGGTGAGCCAAAGCGATTCCGCCATCTGTTTACAGAGGGAGAGACAGGTATGGGGGTGGGAAGGTATAAGCATGATTCACAACATATTCGTACATGTGCCTGGTAATGGAAACCATTCTAGAAGCAATCATCCTGTGTCTGGAAAATGTTATGTCTGAACCAGCTCAAAAGTCTAAAGCCAGGGGTGCGTTGCACAGAGTTGTGTTCAACTGCAGAGCTCTTACATTTGATAGTTGTCCTATTTATTATATATAAATCTTTTTTAAAAAAACACCCGCTGACAAATTATGTGTCTGAGGGCTGCAGGCAACACCATTTGACAGCTACTAATATATTTCTTCTGACATTTTTTTCTGCATGCAAAATTCCTGTTGACTTCAACGCACAGGACAATGATGGTTCTGTCAATTGCGCACATGCAGACTCCAGTTTAATTAGCTGCAGATGATGAGTTACCTGCCTTTGGGGAGTTTTGCAGAAGAGAATCTTTGCCTTGGTTTTATTGCAAGTATGGGTTTACAGGCATAGGCCTATTTTATTGAAAAGAACTCATAAACTTGTATACTAGTGGACATAAGTGTGCGTAGGAACACTGATGTGCATCTGACTGCTTAAGCAGCATCTTCCAACAGAATCCCATCTTACAGGTATAAAAACCCAGACTAGGCACCCCACTCCACCAATCCTATAACAGTAGGTCTCTTAAGACTCTTTCCATCTGTGCAGTTTTCCCACCCAGTTTTCTGATGAATATTACCAAATCTGTGGCAAAAGAACAGCACAGTCCTATACATTTCTACTCAGAATTAACTCCAGTTTTGTTTGGTGGGGCTTACTCTCTGGTTAGTGGGGTTAAGAGTGCAGCCTTATTGTGGTAGAAGCTTTCATGCACCTATCTCAGTGTGGATCTCATTTCAGCCCAGATAAAGTGACTTACTAGAATTGCTGTTGTCATCCGTCTGCCTCAGAGACAATGGAAGAGTGTGCCATTGGGGGTAAAGTCAAAGCATTGAAGAGTTACAGCACCTGCAGTGGCTGTAGAGACCAATACGGGAGAGACATGTTTTATTGCAGGTGGGGCAAATGAAGGCATCGGGTTTCACTGTTATAAAGGTAAAAGGTAAAGGATCCCTGGATGGTTAATTAAGTCCAGTCAAAGGCGACTATGGAGTTGTGGTGCTCATCTTGCTCTCAGGCCGAGGGAGCCGGCGTTTGTCCACAGACAGCTTTCTGGGTCATGTGGCCCACAGGACTAAACCGCTTCTGGCACAACGGGATACCGTGATGGAAACCAGAGCACATGGAAATGCCATTTACCTTCCTGCCATGGTGGTAGCTATTTATCTACTTGCACTGGTGTGCTTTTGAACTGCTAGGTTGGCAGGAGCTGGGACAGAGCAATGGGAGCTCACCCCGTTGTGGGGATTCGATCGGCAAGCCCAAGGGGCTCAGTGGTTTAGATCACAGTGCTACCCGCGTCCTTATACGCTGTTATAGATGCACCATGGCATTTCTTCACTCTGCACTCCTCCCAATGGTCATTTCTCCTCTTGTCCACCAGAACATATTCTAAAAAGCTGAGGAATTTCCTTGGGTTTTCATACCAAGGCAGCAAGGTCCCTGTATAACTTATGGATTCATTGAAGCGACAGATATATGTGTGGGGAGAGCAGGGTACGTAAACATCTCAAGGGGTGTGTGCACAGAGGGGGCTGCAGAAACAGGCGAGAGGATGAGACGTAGAGATTGTGGTGATCTGCGTGGAAGAGAGATTTGAGAAAAGGAGGAGGAAGGGGGAAAGGGGGTTGAAGGGGAAATTGGGGGTGCAGAAGGGTTTTCAAAAAAAAGGAGTAGCAGGCATGGGAGTGGAGGTGAAGAGGAAGGCAGGAGCAAGAAAGGGCCTGGAGAAGAGAAGAGGGTGGTTTCCTAATTGGACAGAAGATGGAAAGGGTGCCTACTGGTTGCAATGTGTGTGAGGGGTCTGTGTGCAAGGGGAGGTTACACAAAAGGAGAGGCAAGGAGGAGAAGGCATGGGTAGGAGGGGGAAGGTGAAAACAGGGGCGCAAAGTAGGGCTGCGGAATAGAAGTGGCTTCAGAAATTGGGTTGGGAAGGCAAAAAGTGAGTTTAGTAGTTGCAGGAAAGGGAGGTTGATGTGAGGGAACCTCTGGGAGGTTGATGTGAGGGAAATTGCAGGGTTGGTGAGTAGAGCAAGAAAGGGCACAGCCTAGTAAACATGTAAACACTCCATGTTGTATTATGTAAATAATGTGTGTGCTAGACATTTCCTTTGCAATGAACCCACCCCGGAAAGAATCTACTAAAGAGCACCCATGGACTGCACTTATGGTCTCGTTCCTTTCCTTTCCTCGACCTTGTCGAGATATGGGTTGTTCTCGCTTCTTGACCCTTTGATCTCCAGGGTCACTTTTTCTAGATGAACCTCTTCACGAAACAACCAGCTCCCATCCACGATTGGTGTGCTGGTGCGTACTGAGGGCCAGCCTCAAATTTATATACCTTTGGACAAGCAAGCTTTCTTTATGGCTGGCTGGCTGGCTGGCCTGCCATGGTTTTGGGGTTTTTTGTTTTTTGTTTCAGTACGTGTGCCTACAAAGAGCACGGGAGCATATTTGGAGGATGATTGATTTTCCTCCCTGAAAGATTTCTGCCTCTTCTGATTCGCGTCCCCCTTAACGGCATGTGTTATATATTGACAGGGATTAAGTTTCCCCTCCTGAGCGGAACAATGTGCGGGCAGAAAGCGAGCTAAGAGCTACCTTGCTGGTTCCTAAACGCAAGCAACGAACTATGCCAGAGCTTCCAAGCAAAGCACTCCTCCTCTCCAAGCTCTGCCACGCTCCCTCTCTCCTTCCACCCCTCTCCCTCCTTCCTTCTCCCAGTTATCCTTGTCCGGGACCCCCTTTCCCCCTTTTGTTATTCGGCATGTCTGATTAGCCCGAGCCTGATTGGCTGCCTGCCTGTTCGGAGAGAGATTCCATGCAGATCAGCCCCTGCTCTCGCCCAGTCCTCGCTCAGGAAACGTGAGCGCGGCGGATGGAAGCGGAGAGGCAGCGGCTCAAGCGCTAGCGCCCCGCCGCCACCGCTGCTGCTGCTGCGCCGAGCCTGACAGCAGGCAAGCGAGGCAGGAGAGCCGCTTAGCAGCCGCAGCCGCTCACTCAGTGCCTCTGCCTGACCGACTGAGATCCCGGCAAGGATCCAAGCATGGAATGGTGCCGCCGGGCAACAGCTGGCGCTCTGCTCCTGGCTTCCCTGCTCCTGGTAAATGCCTTTTCTTCTCTTTTACTAAAGCGGCGGCGGCCGCAGGATGGGCTCTCCTCCTTTGCAATGACTGGAGAACTTAGGCGGGGAGAGCGCGCGGCGAGGCTGCTCCTCTCGCAGAGGTTCCAGCCTCGCAGGGCAGGTCCCGTTAGGTGGCAGTGGCTTAAAGGGCAGGTACAGAGAGTTGGGCTCGCCTCTGGTGTGGACAGGCAGCCCCTGAAACTTCTGGGTCTTGGAGGGGAAGCCCACACTCCTGACATCCAGTTCTGTGGCCAAGGATGTGCCTGGGATTCTTTCTAGAAGGGATGCCGTTCTTTTCCCTCCTCTTAAAAAAACTATTTCGCCCACTCTGCGAGAGGGAGAGAAAAGCAGGTCCCGCAAGCGACTGAAGGATCTAACCCTGTTACCGCAGTAGCGCGCTGATCTCTGATTCTCGCGCAAACTTAACTGCTTCTTCCCTCTCCACGGTGCCAGGGATCCTGCCCGTTTGATGATCTTAAGCGCGCGTTATTTCAGCCAGGCGAAACTTTTCAGATAGGAGGCTTCCCTAAATTGAATGACGGATGAAATTCTTTTGCGAGTTGGGCTTGGGGGTTTGGGGGTGTTGAAAGGGAAGGCTCCGTTGCAAATTCTCCCCCGTGGGTTACTCCTCCTTCTCACTACCCTCCCTCACGTTCCCAAAAGCGTCGCTCACAACCTTGAAAAGATACACTCTTGCATGCTGCGCGTGTCTTTTGTGTGTGTTTGTTTTTCCAAATCACTTCTGGTCATTTGGAATAATTGACTCGTTCATGCTGATCTTTTTGCAACAAGAGCTAAAGTTGGTCCGGGACCAGGAATGGAGTTGTCCGTGTGAAGGATTTCACAAATGCAAGGGGTGGGGGGCCAGAAATGATATTTGAACGTCAATAGTACTGTTTCTGGTGTGGTTCGAGGAAAATCCAGTCTGTCTATAAATACGAATTAAACTTGCTATTGTACACTAAGGTCCACGAGATATTTGAAAGTTTATTGCTGACTCACTCTTTCTGTGTGACAGGGATATGACTCTGCACTTCACTTGCACTGTAAATACTTTCCTACAGATGGCTGCTTATCCTAAACCGTTTGTCATTGTAATTATTGCCAGCTCTATTGCTTGTACCAACCATCACTTTTATGGGCAAACTTATTTTTTTGGCGACAAGTGTTGTGCATGATATTGTACATGCCACTGTCCCCAAATCTTTGCACTAGTTATGCACATATTATTTCATTGTGCATACCAACATTTGTTTTTAAGATAAGATGTGTAAACTATTACAAGTCACTAGTATAAATGTGGCAGGAATGGGTAGCTGGTCAGGCTTATCCGGGGCTTTTTACCCCCAGAACCTGTTTTCAGTGCCAGAACACATCAGTATTTCTCTTGCCACTGAATAATCACTTCCATAATAAAGGGGTCATTTGAAAGCTCCTTGGGGCAGGGCCTATCTTTTGCTTACTTTACACAGTAAAGGGTTGTGCGCATTATGCAATAGTGATTTGTAAACAAATCTTCATCCTTATTGCTCTGCAAGTCAAAAGAGCGAGGCTCTTTCTTCCTTTCTGGATTCATCCCAGCAGCAAGAGAAAGTATTATATTTGGAGCATGCTTGCGTTAGACTTGCATAATTGTTACTCTGCGTTGCCCTGCCAAATCGTGCAATTTTAATCCACCAAGAGCCAGTTTCTGAGAGCAAAAAGGGGTGCTAAACCCTCCTTCTCCTGCAGCGTACCTCCCCACTGCCAGCCCCAATAAGCTGTGAGTGAGAGACTGTGGGCAACAGACTGGTTCACCCTGCCTCAATCACATGCCCCTTTCTCTCTTAAAATTGATCCCCGCTTTATACACGATTGGAAAACTTTGTTTTGTTTTTTTGGTATTCTAGGACTGACTGAAGCAAGAGTTGAAGCAGCGTGATTTGGCTTCATCCTCAGAACATACCTAAACCAAATCTCCATTACTTGTGAATTAGGCACTCATTTCTCAGTTCACTAAAATAAATAGTACTCTCTGCTGCCAACCATTATGCATTATTCTTTAATGCTATATACCAGTTTGAGTTGGGTGAGTTGATTTGGATTCTTTTCTCTCTTTTAAATAGATTTCCCCATTCACCACCAAATAAAACTTAATTTGTGCCTGCAGGTAAGTTATAGGGGGAAAGAGGATGGGGGAGATGCAATCTCAAAGGTACACAAAACAATGCACTTTAATTGCCCCAGTGCATTTCAAAGCACACCGAGTAAAGCACAATAAAATGATGAGTGATGGGGAAGACTATGTTACACTCCCCCTGCAAATTAATATATGCGTTTTGGCAGGCAGGCAACTTTCTGCTTCACTGTTTGGTTTCAAAGATCTTTATGGGTGGAATGAGATGGAACAAGAAATTTAAAAGAGAGTTGAAGATAAGAGAGGACATAATTAGGGGATTAATAAGCTAGCACTTATGGAGTGTGTGTGTGTGTGCGCGTGTGAATCATGACTTCCGTTTCTCTTCTAAAAGAGTTCCCCTAAATCAAGTGTGATGAATGAGTGAATTATGGAGGGACACCAAGAACAGGATATAGATTGTAGAAACCTGTGGATCTCTAGCTCCTCCCTTTAAAGTAAGTCACCCAACTTCAGCTCAGCATTAATTTATGTGGGAGAATGAAGCATATTATGCTTGGCTTTTAGTTCTGGTCTAAAAGGTCACCTTTGCCTTGCAGGTGTGGCTTGCAACAAGAAACAAAAAAACAAGGTTACATTAAGTATGCTCAGCTACCTGGGTAAAGTCAACTAGAAAGGTATCAGAGCTGAGTACACACATACCTGTTGATCCCTAGGCAGCTTGTGATGTCAGATGAGGGCCACACCAGAAGCAGATTCCTCTCTTTGGTAGATGTCTGCCCCAATCATTAATAAAACAGGGGGCAGGGGCCCAGTTTTAAGAGCAAAAGGAGGCTGTGAGTAGGTGGCCTGGTTTTTTTGGGTTGCTGGCACTCTAGGTTGCTGGCACTCCAGTCTGGCACTCCAAGCAGCACTGGGTGGTTTAGTCTAGGCACCATTTCAGTTTCCCACAATTCACTTGCGGTAGCATGCCTTTTGAAGGCTGTGAGGAGTTAAAATGAGGGCTGAACACAGCCACCTAGCAATGCCATCACTGTTGCCTAACTCCAGGTAAGCCAGTCAGGGCACTATTCTGAAGGGCCTGACCCCTTCTCAACCCCATCATTTGCTGTTAAATCTGGGCCTTGTAACCCTCACTTTATTCATTATTGGTGCAGGCCCACATTTCGGGGGGGGGGGGGAAGAAATGTGTTTGCTGTCAATTCTAGCATATACCTGACAACTTCCATGTATGTAGAGCTGTCACTATGGATTTGCTGGAGAATAGACTGTAGCTGACACTTGCAGACACCTCTGTATGCATGGATCAGAAAAAAAAACCTATCACCTCCTCAGTACGCTGAATGAGTCAGCCCACATATAGATCACACAAAGCAGACAGGAGCCTTGGTTTTCATGGCTAGCTTCCCAGGATGAGCATAGGACATGTCTCGGAGGGGAAAGGTTTTGCAATTTTTCTGTGAACATTTCCCGTGCTACTGGTTACGTGCTGCAACTGGGAGCCTGGAAAACTGGCGTACATGAGACTGAAGGTCTCCCTGGAGACTGAAGGTCAAAAACCTGAATGGATTGTGGTTATGTGAGCAAAATAGGTACAGCAGGATAAGTACCTGGGGTTTCCATCCTCCAAGCCAAGGATGGGGAACCTGTGGTCCTCTAGAAGTCCCAATCCAAGCGAACATGGCCAATGGTCAGGGGTTATGGGATTTGTAGCCCATCTGTGTAGGGACACAGGTTCCCCATTCTTGCTGTAGGCCAAACGTGTGCATTCATTTTAGATGGTGTTGCCCCCACTCTTCACAGCCTTGTTTTGCAAGCCCCCTTTCCCCTACTACAAGAGATGCTCAGAGTCTGAACAGTCAGATGGAGTGCGGAAGTTCCAGACATCTCCCTAATCCTTTACTTCACTCTACCTCTGGTCTGAATATCACCATTTTTTCATATTTCTGCATAATGCAAAATGGGAAGTGAAGGGGCAGCTTAGCCCAGTTTGATCAAAAGCCATCCTGCTGTGTGCTGGAGTAATTGCTCTGCTGCTTTCACCAAGGTCCACATCCTAGGTTAAGGTTTTTAATCTCTCAAGATGTGTTTGCCATGGTACATCCTCTTCCCTAGAGCCATCGTCTTCAACACTTTCTTCCTGTAAAAAACAATGGGTCGTAGTTCCAGAAAAGGCAGGAATTGTGTGGTCTGCAGTAGTAGTGTAGAATGCATCAGTTCTTTATCCTGGCACCCGAATCCTCACATCTTCACCACATGCCGGTTGGGGACCAGAACAGCACACACAGCATTGTGGCTGCCAGGAATCAGATAAGGCTTTAGCAACAAGAGACCACTTTCAGTTGATTTGTCAGGGGGTACAAACAGCAGCAGATGTGTCTGTGTAGCCGGAGTGAGGGCAATGAGCCCTGTCCTCACTCTGAATGGGCTTTGTTGTGTAATCATACAGCCAAATCATGATGCCATCCTGTTGATGATATGATTGCCCCAATGGGCTAGGGTCACAATAGTCAGGAAGAAGCACATGGCCAGGAAGGGGAGGAGGGGAACGACACTGGAACAGCTGTAAATAGAAAGCAATCAGATTGTGAAAAGGTGTGAATGTAAGCACAGAACATGTTGGGTCCCTTGGTGGCTGCCCTTATTATGCTGAAAATCCTGCTGTGAACACTGACCTATTGCCTGGAATCAGATGGGCAGAATGGATGTATTTCAGTCTCACCACCCAATAAGCCCACAAAGATGTGTCCAAGAAGAGGTACCACCACTTTGGGAGTATGTTGATGACAAATGATTTACACCCTGAAATGCTAATATCCTTTGCACACGTAGAAGCAAACCTGTTTTTGTCACCAAGTGCACGCTATGGTTTTCCCAGTAGTGATGTATGGAATTGAGAGCTGGACCATAAAGAAGGCTGATCGCTGAAGAATTGATGCTTTTGAATTGTGGTGCTGGAGGAGACTCTTGAGAGTCCCATGGACTGCAAGAAGATCAAACCTATCCATTCTGAAGGAAATCAGCCCTGAGTGCTCACAGGAAGGACAGATCCTGAAGCTGAGGCTCCAATACTTTGGCCACCTCATGAGAAGAGAAAACTCCCTGGAAAAGACCCTGATGTTGGGAAAGATGGAGGGCACAAGGAGAAGGGGACGACAGAGGACAAGATAGTTGGACAGTGTTCTCAAAGCTACCAGCATGAGTTTGACCAAACTGCGGGAGGCAGTGGAAGATAGGAGTGCCTGGCGTGCTCTGGTCCATGGGGTCACGAAGAATCGGACACGACTAAACAACTAAACAACAACAAGCATGCTCAAGAAGAAACGGAAGCCACTGAGAGTACTTTCCCATGGAGAGTCCTTGCAGGATGCATGCATTTGTTTCATGCATACTTTGAAGTATATACTAAACACCTAAGAATGCAATGTGTGAGGTGGCACTGAAGTAAGTGAAGACTATATGTTTGAGTTTCTCAAGAGATAATTTAGCATTCCGCCAGCCACAACATATAGCTGAGGGCAGCAGCAGCAGCAGCAGCAGGGCCACATCCAGCCCCTTGGAGAAGTCTACCAGACCCACCTCTGGTTAGAAGCAAAAGAATTCCAGACATTAGATTTCACCACTGACCTCGTGAGTGCCAGGACCTCCAGCCTCCTTCATTCTTGTAAAAATTCCATATTTCAGTGATGCTGACACAGAGTTCAGTGGAAACTCTTCACATATGTTAGTTCATAGGAATGTAGGCTTTATTGTGGCTGATATGCAAATATGCTGCCACCAGCAAAAAGGAATTGGGATGGGAGAACCCTGCAAATATTGCACCAGCTCTGGCTAGGCAGCAGAAGGGAGGCATTGATGTTCTGTCTCTCCTGCCCCATCACATTCTTTCTGAACAGGAGCGGAGCTGTGATTTAGCATCCTCTGGTTCCATTGAGTCACTGTGCTCATAAGAGGGCTGGCCATGCTCAACCTCTGAAAGTCCCACTGCATGCAGATCGAGAACTAGAAACCATCATACAAAAGGAGGTACCTGACACTGCAAAGACCTATCAGGGGACTGAGCCCAATAATTTTTAATTAGCTTTAAAAAAAAATAATAATCTCATTGCTTTGTTATGCAACAGGGCCTGAACTTGCAAACCAAGATTCTAACGAGTAATTAATTTTAGAAATAAGGAGATTGGGGAGCAGGATTGTCCAGGTGGCCATCTTTGTTGCTTTTAATTTCACCATTGTTGTTGTAATTGTTGTTGTTAAACACATACTCGTGTTTTTCTGTCCATATGCAGTTCTTCCTTGTGGGGATTCAGGTTTATTAATCAATGTATTTCTGCAATTGTTTCCATGCACATGCACTTAATTTGATATAGATTGCCAAAAATTGGCGGGGAGGGAATCTTGAAGAGAATTGGTAGGTAGCCAGCTTTAGCTTCTGCTAAAAGAATTAGCAGGCTACTACTGTTTCCTTCTGAGTAGCTGCACAGGTGCAGTTCTGCAAGTTGCTTGCTCCAAAAATGAAGGGGGGGGGGGAGACAGGAAAGTGACCAAGAAGAGGCACAGCGTGAGTCTTTCTCCAGATTAGTTGTGAAATAACTGGAACCTGCTTGATGAAGTACATAATGGGGGAGGGGGGAGGCTTGAAGTTCCAGACTTTAAAGTGAACATGCTAAATTAGGCCCCTTTTTGTGAGATTGTGTGTGTGTGTGTGTGTTTTAAAAACTGCCAATCCAGATGCACTAAAAATAAATAAATAAGTTGTAAAAGAAGGGGAGGTGTGTGTTCTAATTAACTGAAGAAACATTTATGTGACTGAGATTTGTCAGAGGTGAACATTTTCCTCAGTATCCACAAGAATGCATACATGAGGCATTCTATGAATGCGAAAAAACTGAATGAGAACCTATGTAGCACCGTGGTTGGGCTTGTAAGACCCAGGTTCAAGTCCCCCTCAA